AATAATTCCTTATAAGTGTATATGTATAAGCACATAGTAAGGCTGTCGCATTTCCTTAGACTGTCAGCAGCTTGGCTCCTCTCTTCATTGTATGTAACAGAGCTGGAGGGAATACATTGTATATTGTCCTACTCACTGTGGGGGTGTTTGGAGAACAGCTAAGCCTGGCATTGTCTGGATTAACTGCATACATGCAGACTGGAAGGGAAAAAGAAAGTTTAAAAAAAAAAAAAAGAAGAAAAGATATATTTAGAAGGGCTCTAATACAATTTTTGTTAAACACCAAAGTCACTCAGACCACTTCATCTCAATTAAGTGGTTTACGTGCTGTGGTCCTGTATGTTTAATCTATGAATGTAAAACATTGCTGTTTTGCTGAAAGAACAATATTTACCTCTAGTTAAGATCATATTTAGAGTTACAAGAGGTGCTTCCTCTGCAATGAGTAATACTCAGTCACGTGACACAGGAGCTCATAGGAAAGCAATGGATTTAATGTTTTCCTATGAAAGCACTTGCTGCTCATACAAATTGTGTATTGGACCATCACTGGAGGAAGGCATGCCTCCTCAATAACATCACATGTCCTGTTTGCCATAAATTAATTGAAATAAATATTTTGTCATATATATAACTAGGAACAAGGGCACGATTGTGTTAAGAAAACATATTTGCATCCCTAACACTATAGTGTTCCTTTAATGCATGTTCCTAACCCTGGGATTCTATCCCACTCTGAGTTCCATGCAGTTGGCCCTCTTGCAGTGTAATATTGGACCATATAGTTGTTTCCTCTGGTCACATGCAAAGTGCAGACAGTTTGAAAAACTACAGTCCTATCCTTACTATGGACCTACCCGCTTGTCCTTTAAACCAGGCAGATTGGTTTCTTAACTCTGTCAGTGCTGTCAGTGGCTGAGCTGTGTTCATACACCTTTTCTGGACACTGACCTGTGTTGTCGCGTTCTGTAAATATATATATAATTTTTTAATTCAATATATTTGAGAAATATTTGAAGACATGCAGCATAATAATGAGGCCAAAACCTATTAAATTTTTATTGGTGCCTGGACCATACCTTTAACTATCTCATACAAGTGGCAAGCACCCAAAGACATATACAGTGGAACCTCGGAACTCGAACTGTCCCGAACAATTCAGAAGTCGAACAAAAATTTTGAGTAAAAAGTGTCTCAGTACCCGAACATACAATAAAGAGCCATGAGTAAAAAAAAAATGGCTCAGTACGCAAACGATCTTCAGTACCTGAACATACAACAAAGAGCCATGTCTCATTTTCAAGCCAGACAATTAGTGTACATAATTGTAATAATGGCCAACAGTACATTTTTTGCAAGTTGAAAGGCAGGAACCACTCAAATAAATGTAAGGTGATCTCTGCATTTTTAATGCATACATATAAATGTAAAATGCTGTAATTGTGGGGGTTTGGAACGGATTAATCAATTTTACATTAATTCTTATGCGAAATGTTGATTTAGGTTCTCTAACACTTTGGGGCTCTAACAGCCTTTGGGAAAGGATTAAGTTAGAGTTCTGAGGTTCCACTGTACACTGAATAAGACTAATTAAATTGGCTTTTTGTTCCCCACAACATGTTTGCATTCAACTAATCCAAATTAGCCATTTAAAAGATTAAATCCGCTTGAGTAATATGTATTGGCGGATTTAGGTGCCAATATTTTTCATATTCAAAAACAAGCCTCAGCAAAGTTCTATTCCTAAGCTTCCTGTCTTGTGTTCAGGAAATATAGATTCAAATTCACAGAAATGCACAGGGTCATGTCAAGTCTTTTCAAGTGGATTGACTTGGCTCTGTTACTATTGGTGAATTCCATCTCCCATGATGCTTAGCTAGCTTTGGCATGGGTTTTCTGGGGCAGTTTTTCCATTGCGATTAGACCATAAATCAAAATGTCCTGCTTTACGCGGGCACAGGGGAATCTCCCTCTCTTGTTAAATTTGTAAGCATGTCATGTTTCTTAAAATGACCGTGCCTAGGTACAGTATTTAAAATGCAAAATACAGTCCTGACGTATGTGCAACATTATTTTCCATATCAATTATTCTATAAAATTTGTCTGAAAATGTATTCAAACATGGCTTAACAGTGTCATTTTTCTTACATGGAAAACCGGTAAAATACAACTAAAAAAATGTCTTTCAAAATAGTGAACGATTGCAGTATCTTTTAATACATTATTTATTGTTCCAACAGAAAAATTTGTACTAACAAGATTTTGGGAGTTCCTCCCTTTATCAAGTCTAAAGCATTTTTAACCACATTGAAGCAAGCAAGCGATAAAAGCTTTAGACTTGAGAAAGGAAGAAACTCTCAAAACCTTCTCTCTCCAAATTTCTGTTAGTGCAAAAAAATCTAGTATTAAAAGATACTTCACTATTTTGCCTCTGCAATGCTGGGCCAGTACAGCAACTCGAATATCATGACTTAATTTAGGTCTTAAATTACATGTTTAATTTTATTTCCCAAGACATATTGGGTGGGATGGACAAAATAATGGCACCAACACTATATTCATATCAGACAGTATAAGGCAGTACTGCTATCCTTCTCTTTTAGAATATATTCAGTACTTTGTAAACAAAATACCGAAAGCAAACCCCGTAAAAAGGCAATACCAATTATTTTAAAGGGACACTATCACCCAACATTCTGACATTTTCCCATAATACCAATTTTGCCATTCTGTATCGTGTGTAACTTGCTCTGTGCTGTGAGGGATCCTCTAATACCCGGGCAGGAGCACAATGTACATCTCCCAGCTCGTAGGAGTTACTACCAGGCAGCAGCCTGTCCACATGAAAATACAACATCATGGAAGGGCATCATCAAATTTTCACATCTGACTTTTATAAAGTTTTACATTTAATCAAACAGAATATTATTTTTAAATTTTGTATGATTTTTATTATGTTTTAAGATTAAAGGACAACTGTTAGTTTTGAAAGAAAATGGATTTAAATCTAACAGTTCATCTCTATGGTCTTCCCTGCCTCACTTCCTGTACAGAAGCAGGGAACAGCATAGACACTAATGCCCCGTTTCCTCAGAGCGGTTCAGGTCGGTACGGTCTGGTATGCTATTTTGACTGTTTCCATTATGAAAGTGGCCCATACAACCTAACCAAACCGCACCATTCCTGAGCCCTTTCAATTGTAGGTCCATAGGAAATGGTACAGTACGTTTAGGGCGGAGCCTTCTGGCCTCACACTATACAATCAATTGATTGGCAGACAGGAAAAGGTCAATGCTCACGACAAATAAGCCCTGCATGCCCCCTGGCAGTCCGACTTGCAGTGGAAATGCTCAACTAAATAGGCTGGACCATTCCAACCCGTCCAAATTGTACCGACCCAAACCATACCACTCAGTGGAAACGAGGCATAACTGTTGGTTAACAAAGTGATTTATTCCTTAAATTGCAGAGAATTGAGCAGTTACTCCCCATGATGGATACCCAAAAACCACTTCATTATGCTAAAGTTGTTTTGATTCAAAGTGTCTTTTTAAGAGCATCTTCTGTCAAACAGAGAGCGTATTGGTGTCCCTCTCTCTTCCCACCTATTCTCCCAGCAGTATGAGGGGAGACCGCTGCCACCTGTCAGTTTGGCTGGAATGTATGCAAAACATAAATGTGTCTTGTGTATATAGTGTTGCCTTTCTGCTATCAAGTGATATGAACCAGTTGGAAGGAAAAGCGTACAGGGACTTGTCCATTCAGAACAATTTAACAATTACTTCCCATACCACCTTGTTGGAAGCAGACATTCTCATTAGCAATGCAGTTGTATCCCTGGACGCTTTCGCAACTACATGATGAAATAACTTGTAATTCCCCTGAGGGGGAGTGTGCTTTTAAAAAAAAAATATTTATAAATATGCTTAACGTGTGCACAGCTAATCCCCAGAAACCTACCTGCTTCTCAGAGGGTATAAAATACCTATACCAGACCGTGAAATTAATATCACTTGGATATATATCTTGGGAGCTAAGAGTCCCTGACATGTTTTTCATGTTAGTCAATCTGTATATTCTTGAACTGTAGATAGCTGGTGTATTTTTTTTATTTTTATTTTTTTAATACATTTTCATACATGACTGGTAATCATATGTGCTAATTACTGTATGTTATTTGGTCCTATGTCCTATTCACATAATATGCAAGTGTTTTGGTAAGCAGAGCAAGTAGATTATAGAGCGGTACGTATTGTTTTATTTGGGTTCCCTGTACCAAAAACTCAAAACGAATAACATCAATAAAATGCTGGCCAAGCAAAGATTATTGTGGCTATGGGGAGACCATTGACCTTTTACAGATGGACATCCGCTCGAAACATCCCTAACCATATAGCACAGGCTTCCCCAAACTCCGGCCCGCCAGATGTTGCTGAACTACAACTCCCATGATTCCCAGCCTATCTATTTCATTCATAGAATCATGGGAGTAGTAGTTCAGCAACATCTGGAGGGCCGGCGTTTGGGGAAGCCTGATATAGCATGTTGTCTAGTCACAGCATGAAGGCAATGGTTTGTTGATTGGCCTGTGCTCGGCCAAATTTTGCTTACCTGCTTGCTTTTAATGTGTAGCTGCTGTATAGTAGCAGTAATTAAGTGAAGCCAACAGGTGGTGTGATTGGATGAAGGTGAATGCTTTGCAGCTTGTGATTTTGGGTTGCTCTCTGCTGCACAAATAAAGGGTACAAGTTGCTTTTCAAAGCTTGCCAGTGCTGACACTTTATACACTGTGTACACTTTACTCCTTTTATAAAGGTTATATGTCAAAGAAGCTGTAGGAGTGTGTTGCCACTCTGACAGCTGAGTCTGTAACCTGGATCCAATGAAAAGCTCTGTGCTATATACGCAGCTATTTTTTTCCCCCTCTTTTTCCCCCTAGCTGTAAAGGGAGTATTTATTGCAACTGCTCAGAGAGGATTGCCTTCCAAATCACTGTGTATGTGCGGAAGGGATTTCATTGCAGCAGATGTTCTGTCACACAGACACCAGGAATCCACTTACTACAACACAAACGCCATCCTGAATCACGTAGGAGAGTTTGCCGTGTCCGCCCAGTGGATTGTTTTTATTTTCTTTTTCTATTTTCTTGCAAAGTGAATAATTTCAATTAACAGATCTTCTCGTTTTGGCACTGAAACAAGCACTTATTTCTTCCTGTGCTCTATACAGACTTTAAGACCTCTGGCACTGACCTGCTGTGTTCTTGTTACAGGATATGGAAGGCCTCGGGATAGCAGAACATCTCTGAGTGGTAGATTAGGAAGCCGAAGATTCGACATGGAGACAGCCGTCTCGGAAAGGGAACCTGAGAGATCATTGGTAAGCCTCTATGAACTTTCAATTACCAAGAGTCTATTTTAGATGCTCTTTCATAAATTGTGCTTATGGCTCTCCCTTTCGATCGCCTTTCATGTGCAGAGCTGTGTATTTAATGACAGATTTTTAAAATATTATTTTAGATTCGCATTTAAAGCTAAAATAACATTTAGAGCTAAAATAAAGATTGTTGTTGGGGACCATTTATTTAATTATTTATTTATTTGTAAATTTGATTCTTATTGTCGTTGTTGCAAGAAAAATCCAACATTCCAAACTTATCTGTAACAGGTAGACTCGCAGGTCTTAGATATATATTCATAGAACAATGGTCACATTTCAATAGCATATTCGTGCGGGCACACAGGCCCCGTCAACATTGGAATATTGTGTCGGCCCTCAGGCCTCTTTTTCCCTCTGTGGTTTTATTTTATCTCTGGGTCCCCGTGTTCTGGCTGTAATCTCGGGTCCCACGGATTGGTGTCCCATCCCGTAGGTCTCTTTACGGTCCGGGAAGTCTAATTCCCTGGGTCTGGGTGCTGTGTTGACCTGCCTTAATTCCTTCATGTCGCCTGTTGGTGGTTGTGCGTGTGTGTCTGATCTCTATTGGTCGATTGTTCTATCGTGTTTTCTAGCGTTTTTGGCTCTATTTACTGGCTCTATATGTTCTAGGTACATGTCTGATGGTGTCTTGCTCCTGTTTGTGACGTCTAACCGTTGATCTCCCTGTAAATCTGAGTTTATGTTGTCTAGTTTCATCTGGGTGTGATGTGTTAATTTCTCTTCCTTTGTACCCTCCTTGTTGTCCCCCCCCCCCTTTTTTTGCATGTGTTTCTTACACATAAGCAGGTTAAGTGTGTCATATAGTGTGTTCTGTTCTGTCCGCATTATGTGCTTCTCGCTGTATATCATTGTTTATGTTGGGTTGTGGACCATTTATTTTTACTATGATACTTTTTTTCAGTCCTGGTATAGAGTTTGTTTTGATAATTCTCTGGTGTGCTATATGTTCAGTTACTGATGGTTTTAGAATAAATGTATATTTTTTTGACAACTGGTTTTGCTTATAAGTTCATCTTTGAGCTGCTTGAGTGATAATATGGCATAAAAAATACAACACTTGTCTAGTAATCGGAGGGTGAAACTATTCCCAAAATTAGAGCCGTGGAGACCTACAAATTCTGAAAAAAGTGTGCTGGTTCTGTTTATCACTAATTTGCTACTGATATATCATATGCATTGTGTCTTCATAGGATGAGAGACCATATTTTTTTTTTATATGTTAACCCTTTAAGGGTCATGCCTCTAAGGTCCCTAAAGACCCCATACAGTACAAAATGTCTTACTTACTTGGAACACTGGCTGCTGTACAGAGACCTACCACCTTTTTAATTTAAAAAGAAAGTATATATATATTTTTTAATAGAATTATTCTGTTATTTGTCCTAACGGAGCGAGTTTGCATCCAGTAACTGTTAGAGCTGGTTATGCACTAAACCAGGAATTTTTAAGAATTGACTAGATTTACAAGTAAAAGTAGTCGAGTTGGAGACATTCTTCAGCTATGGACTAAAACTTCCAATTTCCTTTTCTGTTTTTCTCCATTACTTATTTAATGGGGGTTGTTTTTATTTGATTAAGTTTTTATTTGTTTCAAAAGTATGCTTTTTATGCTAGGATTTAGCATTGGTGATTGTAGCACCTGCAGAAACATTGTTATACAGATGTACAAATGTATCAGTGGCAACAATTTATTTTCCACAGAGAAGCTTGGTTATATTACACCATGAAATTTCATGGAGATAACCTGCCTCGTGAGTTTAAATGTATAAATACTCACCCATAGGTCTCTGGCAGTTCACAGCCACAAAACTAGGTCAGTAAGTTGGCAAGTGCTGCTAACAGGCAGGCAACCGCATTAGTGTCCTTTTGCCAGTGATCAGAACCATCAGATTATAAATATATAATGCTGGGATGTATTACGGCCAGACTGCTCGTTATCATCAAATGATGCAAGGGAGAGCATATAAATAGACTGCCGTAGGAAGGCCAATGTGAAAGTTGGGACAGTCTTGGTCTCCCCTCGGTGTGAAAACCATTTCATTCTCTGCAGTTTACGGATACGTTTATATGAACATCTGGCTAATATAGGTGCAAGATCTACCCAGATCTGTTTTGGTAAGTAGTTGTTTTATTGAAGGGAAATACACTGAAATCCTCTGTCCAACTAAATTAACCCCTTAAGGACACGTGACGTCATGATTCCCTTTTATTCCAGAAGTTTGGTCCTTAAGGGGTTAAAGGGATATCATAGTCACCAGAACAACTATAGCGTAATGTAGTGCTTTAGGGTGTACATCCTGTGCTTGCAGCCATAACACTGTAAATACTACCTTTTCAGAGACTAGTAACACCTCTAGTGACAATCACTCAGACAGCCACTAGAGGTGCTTCGTCCGTGTACAGCACTGATGTTCACAGTCTCCACGCTCTGAATGGAGGCGCTGAACGTTTCCCATAGAGATACATTGATTCAATGCATCTCTGAGGAGATGCTGATGGGCACAGCGTAATGCACAATAGCCTCCCAATGTTTTCCTTTGGTAAAACATCGAATTGACTCATGTCATCAGGTTTGATGATCTCTGCCATGGAGGCAGCGCCATGCAGGGCCCCCTGAGGCGAGATCTGTATGGCTTGGGAATAAAAAACAAAAAAAACATCTTTTCAGAACAATGCAAGGGGGGTTGGGAACCGAAATAGTTTAACACTGTAGCATCAGGAATTTGTTCGAGTTATTGACACAATAGTGTTCCTTTAGCAGTGGTAGAAATATTGATGTCTACAAGATGACATTTGTAAATTCAATCTGTAGACAATTTATGTTCGTTAGAGTTAATAGTCAGTACCTGTCTGGTTAGGCTTGATCATCACGTGAGGTTTTTGACTTGCACACTTTGTACCTGTGATTTCAATAGAACTTTTGAGAGGTGTCATCAGAGCCCTCTGGTTTGCAAGTGACATGTTTGTGATTGTTAGATAATATTATGGGTTGTAGGATCCAATGGGCCACTGTACATGACTTCTATTCACTGTAAAATGTTTGTTTGCTATGCATCAAAGAAGAAAGGTTTAATTATATGTAAAGGTTATTGTATTCTAAATAAACTATCATGGGAACCCAATGGATGTACGCTCAACATGGTAAGTTAGGAGACCATAGTTGCCTTGGGATATACTTTTAGATAGGAGAGGCTCGATGGATGACTAGTAATTCCTGATGGTGCTGTTTGACAGACATTTGCGCAAGGCCAAAACATCTTGTCCCACAAAATCTGTGCTTTTATTGACTGTATGTGCTAAATGCCATGGACTGGTGCTCTTTATATCAGCAATAGAACGTGATGAAGAGATACTTGCCATTTGAGTTGTATTGTGTTGAGTATAATTTACAGGCAATGGGCTCCTGTCTCCCATCTTGCATTGCGCTCTACCATGTGGTATGAGTAGAGCCAGGGAGAGCATTGACTATCCGTTGCTACCTGGCCATCCTTTCCTTGTAAAAACACAGCAGACCGGAATGGAAACAGAGGCAGGGGTGAGGGAGCCTTAACTTTGGAGTGAGACTGTTTTGAAGGCACCCAGGCACTCCTACCCCCATAACATTTTAGATAAGCTTATATTGTCATTGGGATGGGAGTGTTCATTTAACCTTCAATTTACCTTCTGAAAGGTAAAAAAAAGGCTTTGATTAAGGCATATATGTGAAGATTCCAAAACCTGCACAAGGGATGCAACGTTCAGATGGATGATGGGTATTGTTGTCTTTCATTTGTGTTAAGTGCTGTCTTGCCTAGAACCTACTAGCTCTGGACATGATGGAGAGAAATGGGCTGGATTCAGCTTGGTTTACTTATTGAGAAGCACCTTGGAAACCTCACACTTGGATTTCCATAGAGTGATGTTGATTATGCAGGGTTGTGTGAAGTGCAGATAGGGCTTAATTGCTCTGAAAAGTTCATCCTTTCTTTCTCTCCTTTCTCTGACACTGGGGACCGCACATTATCACAGATTAATTCTGTTGCTCTCTTCTTCCTACAGATGCTTTCCACAGAGAATTGCATCACAACTGGGCCTTGTGCTGATTAAATGTATGATTATCCCCTAGAGTCATGTCCAAACACCTCATACAAAGGAATTATTACCTATGTCGCCACGAATAAAGGCAAGGTCACTATAATAAACTATATACCTTGTAAAGGTCTCTGTGTATATTCTAGCAGGCACAGTGAAGGGGACATAACCCATTAATGTCCGGAAGGGACAGAGAATGCTTTATTGTGTGAGAACGAACCTCTGTGAGGTTATTTCAAAGGGCTGATTAGGTTTGAGACCACGTAGTGCGCTGATGTGGACATAACCCAAGCAGGTTACCCCAGTATTAGTGGGTCCTTCTTTAATCATAAAGTGGGAAATATATATGCCCACTACAAAATATACTACCTAAACTGCTTTAAGAGACACTTCTCCTATATACTCTTTTCTGGTTATTTCTAATTGGGCACCTGGAATGGGGGTGTGAGGATTAGTGTATTGGATCAGTGTGAAGCAGTGGTGGGCTTATAAACAGTATGGTCATATGGTGTGACTAAATCCCCTATTTTTAAAGATCAGTGATAATTAAATTTTAAAATATTTTGTTCATTAGAGTAGCAGCGCTAAGAAATGCATATTATGTCTGTGCCCTAATTCAATTTTTGATCTTTTAAAATTTAGACACCTCTCTGGCTGATTTGATTAAGTAATGTATATGAAATATCAGTCTCTTAATTTGGAATAGATGATGATCTCTTTGAATTCCAAGTTTGGAATAGCTGATCTAGCAGAGGCCTGACCCTTTTTGCTCATGTCACCCACCCTATATATTATTATTGTAACCAAGACATTGGTCTCATCTGGGTCCTGCATTATTTGTAAAGAGATTGACTGCAGCTGGATGGGGCGAAATCCTTCTAACTGTACCATACCTTGCCGTACACCAACAATTAATTTGCCCATGTTTCTCTTGTTTGTAAATCCATAATCTGTTTCATTTTTTCCCCATTACTAGTTTTTTTTTTTTTTAGATATTACACAAATTACATGCAGAACATAGCATGACTGTGATGGCTCAAAGTCGATTTTAAAATGTATGAGTAGCACGGGTTCTGATTTTTAATTAATTTTATTCGTTATTATTTTAAGCTCTGGAAACCGTAGGGCGTGTTTGACTGAGAATGGGAAGGATGGGTAGGATGATCAGAGATGTTTCAGGTTACTCTACCCCAGATTGTTTAGTTATTTTGAAGATCATCACTGCAATTCTGTGATATGTTCTCCCTATATCTGTCTTATATCATATTGATTAACCAGTTTCTAGAAAGCTCCCAATGCAGTTGTGGAGTTCGGATTGCTTGTCATTGTCCACTGAAGATCTGCAGGTTTGTTTGAAATCTCACCTGTCTGCTCGAGAAACAAATGATGTAATAAATGCAGAACATCTAATATCCATGGGTTGGGCTTTATCTGCTAGGATTCCTGCAAGTGTGACACCACCTTATCATAAGAGTAATGTTCCATAAAACCTGTTTACTTATACGGCTGCTTATGTAGAGGAAACAAAGTAATTATTGTTAAAGTCCTTTAAAAGATAAGTTATCTTTTGCTCCTGTGAGTTATTGAGCAGAGGATAGTGCGACTTTGTAATTTGTAACTGTATTAGGTAGGTGATTATTTGGCATACATTGTTCCTCAGTACCAGCGTGGCTATAATTAAAGGAGCACAGTGAGACGCAAAAATAAATTATATAAATATGAGAGCACCAAGAGGACTGCTTAATTCCAGAGTTCCAAGCTCGACATGCAAATGAGTTAACCAATAGGCATTGTGTTTCCGACTTCATGCTGTATTTCTGCAGATACCCGTAGCAATTGATACTATGCTGTGGATATGATATTGCCTGTTCTCACTCCTCTGGGTGGTGTATTGTATATTCCTCATTCTCTTGTCCTCTACCAGTTTGAAGGTTCTGCATGTGTCTTAGCTGTTCCCGACCTGCACTCTTCTAAACGGATGTCACACTTGAAATTTGCTGATTTCAATCTCCCAACATGGGGATTACAACCCACAGCGCTCGTAGCACAACCGGGACTAACACAAACATGTATTCCTGACCCTATAGTATTAAACCCATTCCCATAGGGAAAGCATTGGCTTGGCTAAAATCTGCATGGGGGCGGGGCCAACACTGTTTGGCTAATCGGCACTTGAATCAATGCATCTCTATGAGGAAAAATCAGCGTACCCATGTAGCGTGTGGAGACACTGAACAGCAGTGCTGCCTACTGTGCAGTTCTTCCCTAGGAACCTGTGGCCACTTGGAGGTGTCCCTAGGGGCAATGTAAACACTGCCTATTCTCTGAAAAGGCAGTGTTTGCATGAATATTCCTGAAGGCAATGATTATACTCACCAGAACAACTACATTAAGCTGTAGTTGTGGTGACTGTAGTGTCCCTTTAAGCCATTTCAACCATCCTGTGTGATGACTTGAACTGTGAGGCTTAGTACATATCCCATATATACCTGCCAGAAAGCTGTCTAGAACTAGACTTGAATAAGAAGATTGGGGTCAGTACCTGGTTTGGAAAGTGCTTGGGACTTGCTTGGGCTGTAGTTTTAATAACTGTAAAATAAAACAAAACACAGTTTACCTTTAAATTTTATTTTATTGTGTTTTATAATGCATTACAAATAGGGAGGAGGGGCACTTATTGTCATTTTACTAATCCAATAATTTCCTAATAAATTGCTCCTATTCCGATGGGATACTGGCAGTGAAGGAGTGGAGCTATCAAGCTTACTGTGCTGTCTGTGGTCTGGTTTCTTTCTGTTTCAACCCATGCATAACAACTGTCAAGAAAGAATCATTACATTTTCCATTTCCGAGGGCTTCCTGAGGAGCACTTCCTCTAGTGATGGATTTTTTTTTCCTGCTGGGAATATTGTACTTTTATGTTTATTTTTGTCCTCTTTTATTTCAGCCTAATCAAATCTAGTGCTATCTAAGTTTCTTTGCTATGGCTACTATGACGTGAACTTGTACCTTGAATTAGAATCTCGTTTGCAGCTCACTGAGCCATAAGTCAGAATAAACAGCAGTACACAATTAAATTGTTTTAACCCTTAAGATGCTTTGTACATTGTGTATTCCTAAACAGACTGGTGGATTTGGTTGATGTACGTTTTGCTCCTCTACTTGTGTGTTTGTGTGTATGTGAGCGCTTGTCTTTTGTGTCCATGATCTTTGAAAGACTTGTGTATGTGAGATTGACAGATTTCCTCAAGTCCAATTTTCTGCTCGACCCACTTCAGTCTGGTTTCCGTGGTCCGCACTCTGTGGAAACGGCTCTGACCAAAGTATCAAACGATGTCCTTGCTGTACACGCAAATCTATCTCTCCTCCCCTGATCTCTCCCCCCTGCTCTTGACTAGTGTCTCTGACTGCCTCTCTGCTATTTCTAACTAGATGGCTGCCTACTTCCTTAAGCTCAACTTCTGGTCTTTCCACCCTCAAGTGTTGCAACTCCTGTTTCTGTCTCCCTCCACATTAATGGTGCTACCATCAGCTCCACCACACAGGCTCGCCGCCTAGGTGCTCTCTTTGACTCCAACCTCTCCTTCACCCCTCATATCCAGTTAATCGCCAAATCCTGCCGTTTCCATCTCAAAAACATTGCGTGCATCCGCTCCTACGTTTGGTTAGCCATTGCTTTATTAACCCCTTAAGGACCTGACTGTTTTTGCGATGTTGTACATTTGCGACCAGGCATAATTTTACACTTTTGTGGTGTTTGTGTTTAGCTGTAAGTTTCCGCTCTCTCATTTACTGTTCCCATACAAATTATATATTGTTTTTTTTCAGGACAAAAGGGGCTTTCTTTATATACCATTATTTATATAATCTCATGTAATTTAATTAAAAATAAAAAAATATGATGGAAAATTGAAAAAAATACATGTTTTATTTTACTTTTACTTGACTGCGAAGTCTCCCGAGTAAAACAGTACCCGCCCATGTACAGGTTTTAGGGTGTCGTTGAACGTTACAGGGTAAAATACAGTGCTAGCAAATTAAATTCTCTGGACGTTCGGCCTGGGTTGGCAGGCAGGTCCCTCAAATTGCAATCAATAAAATTACTTAATTATGTAAAAATATTACATAAATACACACGTAGAATTTAAATATAAATACATACTTATATATTTGAAGTCTGTGTATATTTATATAATTATTTATGTAATTTTGTATATGGACATATGTATATTTCGTATTAATTTTATTTATTTATATATCCATAGATATATATACAATTTCATTCTAAATGTATTTTGATATTCGTGTGTGTGTGTGTGTGTATATATATCTATATATATATCTATATAGATATAGATATATATATATCTATATCTATATAGATATATATATAGATATATATATGAATATCAAAATACAGTTAGAATAACATTTCATATAGATATATATTTTTTAAATTTTTATTATTTTTACATTTTTTTTTTATTTAAATTACTTATTTGTATTTTATAATATATATTTACAATATATATAGTTATATATACGTGTGTAATTTAATTAGAAGTGTATTTTTATATTAATATATGTACATATTAATATACAAATACAGTTAGTATGACGTGTGTATATATATCATATAGATATATGTCTATATCATTTATATTTATATATATATATATATATAAAACACAAGATCCAGCGCACTCACCTATCCACTAAACAGCAACTTCAATGTTGAAAGATTTTATTAGTTTTTTTTTAAAAACACCTAATCTAGGCAAAAATAATGGGGGTTTAGTTACATTATATGATCATACATTACATAAGCCTGCCACAACGTCAATGTACCCCATCTTTGGCAGGTCCTACACTAACAGCCTAATGTCTGCTCTTATGAGATTAACCACTTACTTGAGGGAAAAAAAATCCATCTGGGGCTCTCTGCAGTACAAGGCCAAATAGGGCCCTTGGATGAGGCACTTGTGACAGGGAGGGGTGCAAAACCAAGGAGTTGGCTAGACTCCCAAATATATACATATGAAACAAGGGGGGTTGGCTGCACTCACCTGAACATGCATAAATGGGGGTGCTGCTGGGGGCCAAATAATACAAAACACAAGATCCAGCGCACTCACCTATCCACTAAACAGCAACTTCAATGTTGAAAGATTTTATTAGTTTTTTTTTTAAAAACACCTAATCTAGGCAAAAATAATGGGGGTTTAGTTACATTATATGATCATACATTGCATAAGCCTGCCACAACGTCAATGTACCCCATCTTTGGCAGGTCCTACACTAACAGCCTAATGTCTGCTCTTATGAGATATATAGACATATATATATATATATATATATATATATATATATATATGTTTTTTTTTGTTTGTTTTTTTTAAATTAACATTAACCTTTATTTTTTTTGATTTTACACTAGCGGGGAGACTGCCTGTCAGCACAGACAGTCCCCCCTGCAGGCAGACACATGGACACCTATTGTGACCATGTGATCGCCGTGTTGAGCGATCACATGGCCCCAAGGGTCCTAATCCGCCGTGGGGAAACTGTCTGGGCTGCAGGCAGTCTCCCCACACCGGGAGCAACACTGATCGCCGCCGGGGGAACGACGGCGATCGGGTAAGTACATAAGACTGTTAGTACGGTTCAGGACCGTCATCGGTCGGCAATGTAAAAATGCCGATGACGGTCCTGAACCGTCCTCGGTCCTTAAGGGGTTAAGATCAATCTTGCACCATTTCTTTTTTCCCTGTGTCTTAATTTAGTTCACAAGTAACAGTGCACTGCACGTATAAATATATTTTACACAAATTAGCAAGACTGGACAAGCTGGGAAGTGTCAGGTGATATTTATATTTGTATTAAATTTTTGTGATTTTATTTCCACCAACTGCAAGGCTCATTTTATGCAACCAAACCATGGTTTTCTCGTCCAATACGAACAGAAGCACTGGGGATGAGATCAACATGCATGGTAAAACAACTCACTCGTCCAATCAAATGTTACTATGAGCAGCATTTCATAATAGGGCGGAGTTTGAGTCTGTTATGGAGGCCACTAGAGGCTGCGAGGAAGACAACTACTAAAGGTATATTTAACCCTTTAACGTAAACTTTATAGTTTCAATAAACAGCAATGTTTTGCATTGAAGGGTTAAAAACAAAAGGGCCACTGAAATGAGTTGGTCTGGGTGCCTAAAGTGGTACTTCGATAGAAATCTGATGATAGATTCCTTTGATGGCATTATTTTTCAATAACATATGGTTCACTCTTGCGTATTATTATTATATTTATATAGCGGCAACAAATTCCATAGTGCTTTACAATGGATGGACTAACAAACATGTATTTGTAACCAGACAAGTTTGACGCACAGGGACAGAGGGGATTGAGGGCCCTGCTCAATGAGTTTACATGCTAGATGGAATGGGGTAAAGTGACACAAAAGGTAAGGGAAGTATTAGGGAAGTAGATTGGTAGAACAGTATTATTTAAAGACTTAGTGTGGGATTTTGGAGCCATTAACAGTTTAATTGATATGCTTATGTGAAAAAGTGAGTTTTTAATGATTTTTTTGAAGGAGTGGAGACTGGCTGATCGTCTATCGAAATAGGAAAGGGAGTTCCATAGGAACGGTGCAGCCTTAGAGAAGTCTTGTATGCGAGCATCATAGGTGGGAGTACGAACAAAGGATAGACGCAGGTCTTTGGCAGAGCATTGGGGCCTAGATGGGACATACTTGTGTAATAGGGAGGATAGATAGGAGTAGCATTATGTAGGGATTTGAAAGCAAGAACCAGAATTTTATATTGAGCTCTATATCTTACGGGAAGCCAATGCAGGGAGTGACAGAGGGGTGAGGCATGGGATGTGCGGGCGCACAGGAAGATGAGCCTCGCCACTGCATTTATTATAGACTGCAACGGGGCAAATTGTAAACATGTAATATCATTGAGAAGCGGATTGCAGTAGTCAAGGCAAGAGAACAGTGGCATGGACCAGCACCTTAGCTGCAAATTCACAGGCTGTGCAGCTTCTGCAGTGCGCTAACAAGAAATAATTTAGTCACTCTGCTTACTTTACATTCTATAGCACTCAAAAGAAAATTAAAAAAAGACAAAACAAGCATCTGTAATTAACTTACACATTGCCTCTGATATGTGTCAGTGCCAGAACTGCCTGCCCCTTCCGTGTTGGCAGAGTATCACGGGACAGGCACTTCTGAAACATCTGGGGAGTCTAGATTATCCACCACTATCTCAATGTTTTTGACACAGTGGGGGATTGGTATTAAAAAAACAAACCTAAAAAACATACACTTGCTATTCTGGTACTTTTTCTGCTTGCACCTATTTACTCCCTAATTTGTTGTAAAGTATTTCTTACTGACCATCATTTTAGTTGTTTGCTCCCCTCCTCCCCCCCAGCGTGCCACTTTTAATGTATATAAGGGATACATCAGACAGAGAGGTTAGCAGCTTTTACTCTTTAATTTTTTAATTTTTTTATTTCATGTATAAGAATCTGTAAGCTGTAATTAACAGTTAAATTGTATGTGGAAAAAATAAGCAAGAAATCCTAAAGACAAATAAAGTGGAAATTGTGGAGCTTCACATAAAAAGCAGATTTGAAAAAGCACCAATGTATAAATTGTGGCGTAATGGTTTTATTCATAAAAATAAAAGAAATTCTGCATTTCCACGATAGTGAATGCAATGCTTTTTATATATAACTCCCAATACAGTGAAGAACTGCATTTTGTTGAAGTGTTAATCTATTGCAAGATCCTGAACTTTCTGTATCATTGCGGACTGTTCTAGTCTGTAGGATTAGAATAAAGAATAAACCCTTTCAAAAGAATTTTATTATACAGGAGAACTAATAGAATGCTTTATCTTTTTTTTTTCTCCTATCCCATACACTGATTAGAGTACTCAATCAAATCTTTTTTTTTTTTTTGGAACTTATGGAAGATACTCTTGGTCGACCCAATTTCTACCTTGCACAATATCTAGACATCTCTATTTAAAGAGACATCAAGCATACCATTACTTTGCTGTCATGGACTCTTGTTTTTTTTTTTTGTTACTCTTTACCACTTAAAGAGAAATTGGGGGAGATTTATCCAAGTGTTCTGAAAAGTGAATGTTAAATTCTGGCATTATTGTGGTCCTGTTTATTAATGTGTTTTAAAATTGATCTAAAAAAAGTGTCTGGGTTCTTCATAAATTCTGCCAATTTTAACAGATATTTCCATTTTAGATGACCACAAAATTTAGAGTGGTGGTAAAAATAAACAGAGAAATGAAACCGAATCCTTTTTTTTCCTGTTAGAAAAAGTGTTGGAAAGATTACTAAATCTATTAGGTTTCCACAAAAATAGTGTAATGAAAAATTATGGTTCAAGCGGCACTGTCACAAAATTGAAATACTCATATTGAAATTGTTGGAATCTCTATGAAATTTCAACACAGTTAAAATATATAATTGGAAAAGTAGGGATCACTTTGTCTAAGTATTTTTCCTCCCTTTGACACTTTCTTGACACTGGGTGGCGCTACTGCAGTCAAGAAGTGCCAATACCCCAACCGTCACCAGTGACGGCTGCAGGGAATTGACGCTATCTCTGGAGGTTCTTCCAGTGTCAATGCTGTACTCTCGCACATGCATGAGACGTCTGCTCCTGAATTTGAATGCTAGGAGAAAACCTGGACCAGCCGGAAGATGATGGCGACTGCGCCCCGTGGGGCATGTTCAGATAAGTTAAACTCCCCTCTTCCTTCCCACTAGCCTCCAGATCCCCAGTGGCAATGTCACGTCAGAGGTCTTTGCTAATTATGCAGAGTCCCCAGAAGGTGACAGTTCTGTTTTAAGGTGAAAGTGGATGATCTTTCTCAATGGGTCTAAAATAAAATAATATTCAAGACAATGCATTGAACAGGTATATACATTGTCTGTAACAAGTGGGATTTTAATTGTTGATATAGATGAACTATTTCTAGATCTGACATGGTTAATTTGTATCAAGCAGTGATGCGCCACTTGCTGACTTGAATAGTCTAATGGGTAATTCAGACACCAGTCGATGATTAAACACAGTATGACCTGGTTACTCATTATGTCCTCTAATAGACAATTGTACCCTTGTCGATTCCTAGAACTATCAGACATCATTTTCTTTATATTGTAAAGCCACTCCTGAGGTCGATCTTTAGCATGGCCCAAGCTGTTACAGGTAACAAAAGCTGTTTACACGTTATTTACTGAATTGCGTGATTCTTTGGACGTCTTTGTGATGTGACTTGCATGTTTCTAGTATTGGAATCTTTGTAACAGGACACGTTCTAGGATATCTCTGCTTGAGGGCAAGTGTGTCTTTCCTGGACTTTTTCTGATTGATTTTGTTCCACTTTCTGTTATTACCATGTGGACCTTGTTTTGTATGAAGTTACATATTGCTTGTTGGGTTTAAGTATTTGCATTTAGGTAATTTAGACCTTATACTTACAGCCTTTTTTTTGATGGTGCACTCTATTCATCCTCCCTGATCTTGCCTTGACGCCAATAGTCTGGCTTTGAAATTAGGACTCAAATCCCCATCCTAGTAACAGACCATCAGTGATGTTCATGTTTCATCTTTTACCATGTAGCCTGCCTTGTTGGCCTCCCTGTGTGGATTTCCTGATAACACATTTTGTCATTTTCTTAAAACTGCATCTTTATTATCCCAACCTTTGCTTTCATTTTCACAAGGAACGGTCTTTAAAGATTTATCGAATTACATTACAATCCCGTCTACTCTGAGAAAAAGCGAGGAGAAGAAATAGAGGCACTGGGGAATATTTCAGTGTGTTCTATTTACAAAAAAAATGGTTCAAAGTAATAAAAATTGGGTAGTCACCATGGAAACCATTGAAAACCACCAGACGTCTTCTATTGGTGACTACCCCCTTTTACCTTTTTTACAGCACTTTTTAGAACAGATCACATTCGGTAAGGAACAAGCACTTTGCTTAGCCAGAAGTAATCTAGTTCTCCAGGTGACTTACCATAATGTAATTCACTATTTATCTGTTCTGTTACCACTGGCAAAGAGCTTGAAGTAGATTGCCTCCAAATGTGTTATCTCAGATTTGCTTTTGCAATCTCAAGTGATCAGAAACTGGTTTTGTATGGTGACATGCAGTTTGGTTTGTAATGTGTGCTGCTGTTTATGTGGTTTTGGCTAGTCTAGGTTAGTTTGTCTGAGATATGTCTTTGATTTGTAGATTAACCTCCACCACTCGTTATCTATAAGAAGAAGCTCTTAAACAAGGGATAGAGTTTCTCCAAAGAAACAAGAAAAGTGAGGATATGGGATATTTGGAGAGAATCCGTCCATATAACAATGGGTTGTTGTACTATGATATGAAATTGACATGCTTAAGTTCTATCTTAACTTGTTAGTAATGAGGGGGAGAACATAACTGGAATAAAATTGGTTTATTTCTGATGACTTAAAGGTAGGCAGACAATGTAATAGAGCAGCAGGAAATGCTAGCAGAATGCTTGGTTGTATAGGGAGAGGTATTAGCAGTAGAAAGAGGGAAGTGCTCATGCCATTGTACAGAACACTGGTGAGACCTCACTTGGAGTATTGTACACAGTACTGGAGACCGTATCTTCAGAAGGATATTGATACCTTAGAGAGGGTTCAGAGAAGGGCTACTAAACTGGTTCATGGATTGCGGGATAAAACTTACCAGGAAAGGTTAAAGGATCTTAACATGTATAGCTTGGAGGAAAGACGAGACAGGGGGGATATGATAGAAACATTTAAATATATAAAGGGAATCAACACAGTAAAGGAGGAGACTATATTTAAAAGAAGAAAAACTACCACAACAAGAGGACATAGTCTTAAATTAGAGGGACAAAGGTTTAAAAATAATATCAGGAAGTATTACTTTACTGAGAGGGTAGTGGATGCATGGAATAGCCTTCCAGCTGAAGTGGTAGAGGTTAACACAGTAAAGGAGTTTAAGCATGCGTGGGATAGGCATAAGGCTATCCTAACTATAAGATAAGACTAGGGACTAATGAAAGTATTTAGAAAATTGGGCAGACTAGATGGGCCGAATGGTTCTTATCTGCCGTCACATTCTATGTTTCTATGTTTCTATAACAAAATAGGTTAATAAATAATGTGAAGGTCTACCTTTTCCTCCGATTTTTGAAGATGATCCACTACTGCCTTTGCTTGCCAGATGCTATTGGTAATAGATTTATATATATGAATGACTTCACAGTCAAGCTGCTAAAGGGACACTCCAGACTAGGGTTCGACAGATTGTAATATTTAAGGACCGATACAGATTATTGGTTGTGTTTTAGGCAGATAACTGATACCAATATTCATCCCCCCCCCTGCCTTTTACCCGTGGCCTGGTAGGTGGACATTACACTCCCTCATGTCCTGTTGAATTGTGCAGGCTGCCAGGTGGTTTTAAAAGAAAATTTATATAATTATTAAAATAATGTGCATAATCTTAATGACTAGTTGTCTGCCATTCACTGTTCATTGGCTGCAGCATGTCTATCAGCTATTGATTAGTATACAAGTAAAATTACTTTTTATCGGCACAGTAGGATTTCTGATGATGTAATACAACACAGTTATAAAAATTTTGAATTATTTTTTTAATTTTACGTTAAGTCTAAACTAGTCTAGCAGTAATATTGGCAAGACCGATAATTGGTCAATCCATACTCCAGACCCCTAAATCACTTCAGCTTTCCGAGGTGATTTACTCGTGAAGCGTATCTTTTTTTTCTTTTTCAGTTTGCAAAGTGCAGGTTTCAGTAGTAGTTGTAACTTCTATAAATTAACCTTGTTATGCTCTGTCCATTGGCTATCAATCAAACATGTCAAATATAATTATTTTAGATACATGGCAGTGATGAGAACATTGGTTAATTGCAATGCTGCACTTGGTGATTTCCCCAATTAATAAACTAATGACAAACTAGTATTATGTACTCATGCATGTTATATTTCTTTTTTGAAGTCCTCCAAGAGTGGAGGCACGTCTATAATCTTGTCTAGATTGGTCCAAGTTTGATGCTTTCTAGAAATAATATGCAGTATCCATTCCTGTTTTAACACGCTAACTGGCCCAAGTATCACATTCATTCTACTGCTTTTTTTTGCAACTATAATTATGTGTAGAGGTGAACAATGTAACAGAGAAAGGTGGACAAACCTGCACTGTCACCATCTGGGGACTTTGCATAATTTACACTGACGGTGACATCACCGCTGGTGGTCCGGTGGCCAGGAAGGGCAGGGAAAGGTAAGATTTACCGTATATACTCGAGTATAAGCCGACCCGAATATAAGCCGAGGCCCCTAATTTTACCCCAAAAAACTGGGAAAACGTATTGACTCGAGTATAAGACTAGGGTAGGAAATGCAGCAGCTACTGGTAAATTTCTAAATAAAATTAGATCCTAAAAAAATTATATTAATTGAATATTTATTTACAGTGTGTGTATATGATGAGTGCAGTGTGTGTATGAATGCAGTGTGTGTATGAGTGTGCAGTGTGTGTATGAGTGCGCAGTGTGTGTGCATGAGTGCAGTGTGTGTGCATGAGTGCAGTGTGTGTGCATGAATGCAGTGTGTGTATATGAGTGCAGTGTGTGTGTGTGTGATGCAGTGTGTGTGTGTGTGGCAGAGCCTTGGTGGGGGGTGGGCATTTTTATATAAAAAAAAAAAAATTAATATTTTAATTTTGTTTTGTTATATTATTTTTTATTTATTTTTATTATTATTATTTATATATTATTAATTAATATTTTAATTATTTTGTTATATTATTTTTTATTATTATTTTTATTATTATTAATATATTATTATATTTATATATTTTTCGTCCCCCCTCCCTGCTTGATACATGGCAGGGAGGGGGGCTCTCCTTCCCTGGTGGTCCAGTGACATTGGCAGTTCAGTGGGGGGAGGAGGGGATCTGGCAGAGCTGTTACTTACCTCTCCTGCAGCTCCTGTCAGCTCTCTCCTCCTCCGCGCCGGTCCGTGCAGCTCTTCTGGCAGCTCACACTGTAAGTCTCGCGAGAGCCGCACTATGACCCCGCGGCTCTCGCGAGACTTACACTGGGAGCTGACCGAGGTGCTGCACGGACCGGCGCGGAGGAGCAGGGAGCTGACAGGAGCTGCAGGAGAGGTAAGCGCTCGCTGCCAGCCCCCAGTCTGTATTATGGCAATGTAAATTGCCATAATACAGACTGACTCGAGTATAAGCCGAGTTGGGGTTTTTCAGCACAAAAAATGTGCTGAAAAACTCGGCTTATACTCGAGTATATACGGTACTTACCTCAACCTGTCCCTCGCGAGCACCGCCATCTTTCTATGGTCGATCCCCTCCTGATGAAGTGCCAGGAGCCAACATCACTCCTGTACTCTTACACATGCACCATAATACAGCATTGAGATTTCTGGAGGATACTGCGAGACAGCGGGATCCTTCCTAGTCAGAGCAAATTCCCTATTCACCGGTTGGGGGATTGACTCTTCTTGATGGCGGTAGCTCCGCCCAGTGTCATTGAGTTTGAAAATCTACTGAGAGCAAGTAGTATACATTGTCTCAGTATATGTTTTGATTGGGTCGGAATAAATGGTGGTTTTAACACTAAAGGGTCAAGAGTACATGTTTGTGTTCCTGACCTTCTAGTGTTCCTTTAATGCAAGTGTTATGGTGCTTACTCCACACAGTTGCTTATATTGCAAAAATCATAATGAGGAATTTTGGCTTTCTCATCTGTCCAGTAGTTTGAATGACATGGGCTGAAAGAACTGGGCTGAACGATGTTTTGTTTGTTGCAAATGCTCACATATTTCAATGCAGCTTCTACTAGCTCAGTCACTTGTTCTAGGCCAGGGGTCCTCAAACATTGGCCCTCCAGATGTTGCTGAACTACAACTCCCATGATTCTTTGAATTACATAGAGAATCATGGGAGTTATAGTTCCGCAACATCTGGGGGAGGGGGGGGCGGAGTTTGAGGACCCCTGTTCTAGGCCTTAGATCATGGTGGGCAAGCGTTTATGGAAAAGTCCATGCTCTAATGAAAAAAATAAAAACCTTATGATTGGCTGAGTTTCTTTCTGATCAGGAAGGAGAACGTTGCAAAATTTGAAAACCTTAGAAATGTAGAACTTTTAACTACGAGTTACTATATTTTAACAGCGGTTTGCCGTTCGTTTAGATTTCTCCAAAGTGTTTGAAATGCGCGTTCTAAACCCCACGAAAGCATATGTGAAACAGAAAGGATCAGCTGGTAAATACAACATATATGTGTGTTTATTTTTTTAGAAGTAAATAAGAGTGTGAGCTCTAATCAGATATATCTGGTTACATTATCTCAAAAACTTGGAGCGTTTTTGGCAGTTTGTTTTCCTTGTTACAAGCATCACAGGCTAAAATTAGAATTTCTTGTCTCTGACTGTGGAAATGGTAGATGATCAACTAAAATCCCAGCATGTAATTGAGACACTCCGTATGTTGCATGCATATTTGGAATTTGTGTGTTTAGTTCGTAATGCTAGAATTTTGACAGCTGAGGTTAAAAACATTATCTGTAGATTGTACTTTCTGTGTGTGGATATAGATTATATACCGGTATATAATCTCCAACATGGGCTTGGCACTCACATTCCTGTCCTGTTCTTGCCTCTGTGCTATTTCGTGCCCAATACAACATCCCAGAGAAAAACACAGCAACTTCAATGCTCACAGATTTTATTAGGTTTAAAAAAAAACAAAAACAAAACCTAATCTAGGCAAAAATAAAGAGTGTTTAGTTACAATATCTGATCATACATTGCATAAGCCTGCCACAACGTCAGTGTACCCCATCTTTGGCAGATCCTACTCTATCAGCCTAATGTCTGTTCTTATGAGATTAACCCATTTACTTGGGGGGAAAAAATCCATCTGGGACTCTGCAGTACAAGGCTAAATAGGGCCCTGGAAAGAGGCACCTGTGACAGAGAAGGGTGCAAAACCAAGGAGTTGGCATATATATATATATATATATATAAAACCAGGGGGCTGAACTCGTCTGGGCATGCATAAATGGGTGCTGCTGGGGCCAATTTATACAATACACAAGATCCAGCACACCCACTAAAAAAAGCAACTTCAATGCTCACTTTACTCATTTATGTATATGTATAATATATATATTATAAAAAATAATCAATTAAAAAAATGATATATGTAATTTTTTTCTAACTGTATTTTGATATTTATATATATTTATATCAAAATACACTTAGAATTAAATTATATATATCTATGTGTATATATAAATAAATAAAAATAATACGAAATATAATATGTCCATATACATAACAACATAAATAATCTCATAAATATACATGTAAACCTCAAATAAATAAATATGTGTGTATATATATATATATTTATTTATTTAAATTCTACGTGCATATTTATGTAATATTTTTACATAATTTTATTGATTGCAATTTGGAGAACATGCCTGATAACCCAAGCCCAAAGTCCAGAGACATTAATCTGCAAGCACTATATTTAACCCTGTAACTTTCCAAGACACCCTCAAACCTGTACATTAGGGGTACTGTTTTACTCGGTAGGCTTCGCTGAACACAAATATTAGTGTTTCAAAACCGTAAAACCTATCACAGCGATGATATTTTTGCATTTTTCACACACAAACGGCACTTTTCACTGATGATATCATTGTTGTGATACGTTTTAGTGTTTTGAAACACTAATATTTGTGTTCAGCAAAGTCTCTGAGTAGAACAGTACCCCCCATGTATAGTGGTTTTGAAAGTTACAGGGTCAAGTATAAGGCTGTTTTTTTCACATTGAAATTTGCCAGATTGGTTATGTTGTCTTTGAGAGTGTATGGTAGCCCAGGAATGAGAATTACCCCCATGATGGCATACCATTTGCAAAAGAAGACAACCCAAAGTATTGCAAATGGGGTATGTTCAGTCTCTTTTAGTTGCCACTTAGTCACAAACACTGGCCAAAGTTAGCTTTCATAACTGTTTTTTGCATTTTTAACACTCAAATATAAATGCTAACTTTGGCCAGTGTTTGTGACTAAGTGGCTACTAAAAAAGACTGGACATACCCCATATTGCAGGGGTAGGCAACCTACGGCACTAGTGCCATGCACGGCACTCGAGGTGTCTTTCCACGGCACTCAAGGCTGCTAGAGTCATACAGGCTCTGGCCTATCAGGCGTCTCAGTGAAACTTCAGATATCTTCTAATACGAAAAGGCGGTGAAGGAAAATCCTCAATTTATGCATTTCAAAACGTCGAGGAAGTGACCTCAGATCAGTTCCTCCCAGCACTTGTGAATGAGAATCCACGCTGTAGCAGAGCAGCCTGCAGCTGCTGTTGCAGCTCCTGTCCTTGACCTGTACCTGGCCAGCCTGGTCTCCACTGGAACCTAGGGAAGTCACTCACACTGCTAGATATACACAGACCTGCAGAATAAGCCTCCCCTCATACAAATAATACAAACAGCCCACACACAAACATACACACAATCCCCACTAACGCAACACCACTAACAATCCACATACATGCACACAATCCCACATGCAGCCTCTCACATGCAATACCCCAAACAGCCCCCACACACTACCAAATACTCAATTTGACATATCCATCCATACACACACACAATTCCAAAAGCAGCCCTCATACACAGCCCATAAACTACTAATGAACATATACAATATAATAGCTCATATACACACAAATACAACAATACAAAGCAATTACAGTATAAATAACACAAGCAGAATACAGCAGCATACACACCTCAATTTAAAAAATAAAATAGGATCGGCACACTACGGGACATCAGAATCCTATATCGGCACAGTGCTGCTAAAAGGTTGCCTACCCCTGCCATTGAATACACTGGGTTATCTTCTTTTCAAAAATATATTGTTTGATGGGGGTAAATTACATTGGCTGGCTTCATAAATGCCCCAAATAGGACATGGGTGCATGATGACCAGCTGTGAAAATTCCAAGTTGGAAAACTGCAATTGCGCACCCTCAAAATAAGGTATTTTAGCCCCCAGAGAACCCAATACACCTATACATGGGTAATATCACTGTACTCAGGAGATGTTGCTGAACACATATTGGGGTGTTCTTTGGCAGTAACCCTTAAAGTTCTCAGTACATGTATTCTTAATTTTATGTGTCAAAAAAATCCCCAATTATTATTATTGTTATTTTTTTTAATTTGGCATAGATTAGTGGTAAAATGGTTGTATGAAAAGAGTGAAAATACCCCAAGTTTAAACCCTTAATGTTGGCGTCTTTTAAAATATATATACATATGAAGGGTTATTCATGGATTCCTGACAGCTATCAGTGTTACAATGTAACTGGTGTTCATTTTGAAAAAAAAAAAATGGTTTGGAAATCGCAAAGTGCTACTTGTACTTTTTGCCCTATAACTTTCCAAAGAAAGCTAAGAACATGTTAACATTGGGTATTTCTAAACTTAAGACAAAATGTAGAAATTATTTAGCACAGGTGTTTTTTGGCAGTTGTAGATGCTTAACAGATGTTGGGGGTCAAAGTTAGAAAATGTGTGTTTATAAAAATCTTTTTTTATAGTAAATTAAATGATATGATGAAAATAATGGTATCTTTAGAAAGACCATTTAATGGCGAGAAAAACGGTATATAATATGTGTATACAGTAAATAAGTAAGAGGAACATTACAGCTAAACGCAAACACCGCAGAAATGTAAAAACAGCCCTGGTCCCAAACGATAAGAAAATAGAAAAACGGTCTGGTCACTAAGGGGTTAATAAGCCGCTCACTGGTCACTATTTGTCCTTTTAGTGACCCTTTCTAGTCCCCTTTGCTTACTGAAGTGTTTCTCCCTATACCTTTCCCCTAATGTTACTCCAACTATTTGTACAGGTCAATATAGCATGGATGAAAAAGGGACAGGCCCAACACTTGACCTATAACTCCAAAAGGAGGACTCTGTAAAGGTTTGAAAACACTCTAAACACACATAATAAACCTGTTCTAATAGCTGTTGATTAAAAAGTTCAGCGTTTCACACATTGTTTGTGTGAATATACAAAATCTGTTTGACCACTGCTCAGGCTGGATATGAGCAAATTTTAAACTGAAATCACACGTTTTTGACATGCAATGGTTGTTAGGCATGTATTTATTAACTAAGTTAATTTATCATCAATCTAAACTATATTAGACGCACTATGATTTAAGTGTTAATCAAACGCTAAATGTTAGTTACTTTGTTACGAGACTGATCCTCTCCAAATCAGTTAAAAAAAAAAAATTAAAAAAAATTATAATAATAATTCTCTACCCATTTACGGGAACTTGACTGAGTCAATAATTCCTTGTCCTGAAGAAGGGGTCATTTTACAAGTAATTCTTATTTTAGCTGACGGACTGACATCATCTACTGTATTTAAAGTAAATTTTGTGCTCAAAACACACCGTTGGCAGTGGGGAAAGAATTCCAAGCAAGATGACCACGTTTGAACTCTGCTCCTTCTTAGTAAATATAAACTTTTGTGAAAGAAAACATTACTGTTAAATATAAATGGATTACCTCTAGTTTCTGTTTTGTATTGTTTATTTTAGTTTATTCATTTCCGTAAGGACAAAGGTGACACAACACATTCCGAGCAAGTTGTTGACCTTTAAGAGGTTAATAACCTTTTAATAGTACATTGAAATCGTGACCATCATTTTTGTATGTTGTATAAAACTATAAATTATTTGTTCCTGATTAGATCAGTTTCTTGACCTGTGTAACTGCCATATGAGGGGCTTTTGAACAAATCGTTAACTGTCCAAAAATACTCGTACTTGCCTCCCCTGCTCTTTGCGACCCGGCAAATGCTCTTGTAGTGTTTTATAGGATTGAACATACAAAAAATTATTGCTATCAGAGCAGTGACAGTTCCTGTTTTCCGGAAATAAATGGCATATAATAGGAAATCCATTTTTCTATTTATATCGTACTAACAAACTCCACAGCACTAAATGTGTTAAGAAACATGAAGGATACTTGGCTAAAAACATATGTTAAGGGACACTTCAAGCACTATAACTGCACGATGGATGGACCGCACACACAGAGTACTGGTTGGCAGACATGTGTTTATTAATTAAGTTCATTATATATCTCTGTAGTAAGTTCTAGGCGTATGTTGCTTGGTGTGTCCCTTTAATAAATTAAGCTGGTTTTCCAAGTGTTTGTATTTGTTGATATAAATATTTCACAATTCTCTGGCACAAACTAATTTGTAGAGCTCCTCCCTCCGTGCTAGAAGCTGTGCAAACCAAGCTACTAGGGCATTGTTGGCAATTTATCACAATCACTCATTCAAATATATTCTGTATATCTCGCAACATTTCAAATGGCTAAAGAGGGTGTTTTTTTAGGTTGGAGATGTGGCTGAAATGGGCTATTTCAGATCACTTTTAGGTGACTTTGTGACCTACTGATGGCATTTGTACTGCAAATTGTATGGGTAATCTACCCTCACAGGTCTCACTTTTTGGAACATACACTTTTATTTTTGGCTGATGAAATTAAAAATCTATTTAGAACAAAGACAACATGTTTATATTTCAGCATATTTACAATTTATGGATACGAGTTAGTAATTGTCAGGTGTTTTATTGCTGAGGAGCTTTCTTTTTTTATACATTTCTCCGTCGTAATCTCCCTGCACAGATATTTTTACTATCCGCTATAAGCAAGCTCTTCTGTGCCAGACACCAGAGGACGATACTTCATCTTCTGTTTGTGCTTTGTGTTCATGATGTGTATCCAGCCCTACCTCCTCTTACAGGTTCTGTGAAACAGCCCGTACCACAAATGCACCTTCACTAGTTATGTGATCACTAAGTAAAGCTCCTTCAACAAAAATTAAAACAGAGCAGTTAAAGGAACACTATAGGGTCAGGAACACAAACATGTGTTCCTGACCCATAGTGTTAAAAACACCATCTGGCCCCCCTTGCCTTTCTAAATATAAAATCTTAAGTGTATTCAAGTCTACAGCTGCTGACTCTGCTCCTGTCTGCATCAGAGCTGCAAGCTGTCTGTTGAGATAATCAGAAGTGGTGGTCTGAACCAATCACAATGCAGTGCTGCTCACTGTGGAGCACTGCCCCAGGAGGCACCTCTAGCAGCCATTTGAGGAGTGGCCAGTGGAGTTATCACTAGGCTGTGATGTAAACACTGCATTTTCTCTAAAAAGGCTGTGTTTATAGCAGGGCTCGACAAATCTCAGGCGCCATGTAGACTAGGATTTAAGACCCGGCGTCTGGGATTTGTTAGCCCACTCAGCCCCGCAGGTGGTTGGCTGCCTATTAGTGGAGGTGGGCGGGCGGCCGTCCGGCTCATAAAGAGCATGGGCGTGCGGTCGGTCTGGGAGCATTTGCGGTCAGCCGGCCAGCTGATGGAGAGTGTGGGGTGTGCGGGCGGGAGGCTCCTGGAAGATTAAGGCAGATGGGCAGGTGCACAAGGGAGCTGGAACCTCCCTCCCTGCTCTGCTCCCTCGCGCGTCCTCCAGTGATGCCGGGAGGCAGAATATGACGTCATTCTGGCCCCGGCATCACTAAACAGCACTCTATGGAGTATAGCAGGGAGATGACTGAAGCTCCACTAGACCCCAGGGAAAACCGAACATCATTTGCTCCAGTAAAGGCTGCAGCAGGGTTTGCTGGGGTCAAGCAATGGTTATCTCTCTGGAAATGACACTTCCTTTTAACATCAGAATCAAAATGCTGAAATGGCAGAATTGCTTTTCAATTAAAAAGGTCACTAAGTACTGTAACACACTTCAATTTATTTTCTTTTGGGGGTAGGGGTAACTATAGGGGTTAATATCTTTGAGCAGCTGGGAAATGATTAAAGTCCATATTTAAATAAAAAAAAAAAATAACACACTCACACTCACACTCTTACCCTTACCCTTTTTTTTACCCTTACCCTTACTCTTTTTACCCTTACCCTGTAATGAGTCACATACATTATTTTAATTTAGACAGGCTATGGTGCTTGAATTGCATTTGGTACACAAGAATCAGTATGGGAAACATACTTTTGATGACGACCTAGTGTAGTGCAAAAGGCACTTTAAAAAAAATTTAAATTTTTTTTTTAAAGCACCATGACCACTCCAGTGATTTGAAACTTTTTGCTGCTGGAGGTATAACTCTGGCAGTATCATTTACCAGCCTGGAACTAAAAATATCTATGCACAGAATTGCATTCATTGGCCAATGAAAGGCCGGCAGGATGTTTTGTTGATCCGTTGTTAAGTTCTTATCATGTTTGGGATTTATAAATAAATACACTGGTCATAAAAAATATACAAATAAAAACAAAACAAAAAAAGTACAATAATTTTAATGACCATAACAACCCTCCTAATGCAATGGGCATTTTCACATAAACCTAACCCATATGCAGCATTTCCTGCTTTCTCTAACAGTTTCAATTGTATAAAGAATGAGTAGTCTATTAATTAGAAGCCAAGGGCATGTTAATAACTCATATGTTCTAATCACAAGAGATGGATAATGAAATATCAGACCTTAAAATGTTTTGCGGGATTGTCCAAACACTCAGTTGTATCTAGAAAACGGGTTACCTGGATAGATTCAAACTCTAAAGACTAGAAGCAAGTCTAGATTCCTCAAAGGGATATATTTTTTAATTTTTGTAATTTTTTTTTTTTTTATTAAAGGGACACTATAGTCACCTGAACAACTTTAGCTTAATGAAGCAGTTTTGGTGTATAGAACATGCCCCTGCAGCCTCATTGCTCAGTCCTCTGCCATTTAGGAGTTAAATCCCTTTGTTTATGAACCCTAGTCACACCTCCCTGCATGTGACTTGCACAGCCTTCCATAAACACTTCCTGTAAAGAGAGCCCTATTTAGGCTTTCTTTATTGCAAATTCTGTTTAATTAAGATTTTCTTATCCCCTGCTATGTTAATAGCTTGCTAGACCCTGCAAGAGCCTCCTGTATGTGATTAAAGTTCAATTTAAAAATACAAGAGATACAATTATTTAAGGTAAATTAAATCTGTTTGAAAGTGAAACCATTTTTTTTTCATGCAGGCTCTGTCAATCATAGCCAGGGGAGGTGTGGCTAGGGCTGCATAAACAGAAACAAAGTGATTTAACTCCTAAATGACAGTGAATGGAGCAGTGAAATTGCAGGGGAATGACCTATACACTAAAACTGCTTTATTTAGCTAAAGTAATTTAGGTGACTATAGTGTTCCTTTAACTTCTATGTATTAATAGTGTTTACAAAGTTAAAATCCATAGATCTGTCCAGCCTGTATGAAAGGAAATCCTGCATGTAGCCTGCAAACTCTTTAGCTGGCAGTAGCTTAGTAGATGTAAGCCTAGCCTTCATGGAAGAGAGGAGATTCAAATCAATCACAATAATCAGAGCACAAAATGGCATATATTTATACTAGTCCTAAAAAACAGTGTTAGAATAAAAAAAACAAAAAACCCTCCATACTCTCAAGGCTAGTTATAAAATGCTTTTAGTTAAGGGAAAATCATTTTTCTTTCTTTTTTCTTTTTTTTTTTTTTTGTGTGATATAGAAACATGTAAGTCACAGCAAGACATAAGGGATGTTATCGATTGTGGTTTTATGAGACACAGATACAAAAGTCACCAGATACACGCTAGAAGGTTTTCTTACCACAAGTGTCACTGGGTCTTGGAGAATACAGCCCTGAATACAGGATGTGGTGAAACGTTTTTAAAAATTCAGTTCACTGAAACTCCATGCACTTTAACCAAGCCCCTCGTATTCTTCTCCAAATGACTATTTAGTGTAAAGGGATTTGTGCTTAAGTGTAACGTCCTTGGTTCCTAATTGAAGCTATACTGCCCCATCTACATCTGGTTATTTCAGGTTAATTGTTTTTCATAGTGATCTTTATCACCTGTGATCTAATTCTCCTTGGTATGCAAATAAGGTTCCAAAAAAATTAACTGACATGGCTGCACATCTTTAAAATCCCCCCCCCAGGAAATCATTGATTCAGAATTGAATGCCACTACGCTGTGTTATTAGGCAGCAATATAAACATTGTCTCTTCTCTGAAAAGGCAACGTTCATAGCCTGTCCATAGAGGCTGTGCTCTGTAAACTCCAGAACCACTAGATTAAGCTGTAGTGGGTCTGATGGCTATAGTGTCCCTTTAAGCACCCGTTCAATTGACCTCTCTTTTAATCTGCAGGAGATCTAAATTTCTATTCAACTGGTCCTGTTTCAGGGTTTCCATGGTGACTTAACATTTTGGATTTGAAGAGAATTAAAGAAGGAGATTCATGGAGTGTATTTTAATGTAAATAATGGTACAGTTTAAAGAGTTCATCCAAGCACAATGTCTAATTCAATGTGGTCATGATAACGTGGTCATGGTAACTCCACCTCCGGCATCATCAGGGTATCATTACCAGGCCTAGAAAGAGAGTTTTGGACTGGCTAATGTCAATCTGTGCAAATTTCAATGAACAACCTTGCATTCATTGGCTTTAAGCAAATAGCAGTCTCGTCAATGAATGGCCAGAGGTATGGGCATCGGCTTCTAAAGATCTGCAGAAGCCGGATGCACGTCACCCTCCATTAAGCACCATCTGCACCTAGGTAAGAGGGTAAACCATTGGAAACTGTTTTCCCCATTACCTGGAAAATGAGCGAGGGTACTCCTGACAGCAGACTGTAGTAGTTCTAATGGAGTAACCCTTTAAGAATGTGTGTTACTTTCAGAAATTAAATACCACTGCTCTAGTTAATAGCTGTATATTTAAACCACCAGAGCCCATGGAAACTGGTCCTTCTTTCCTCCTGATGTTCATTTTGTAAAGCTCACCTTTGCTATTTAAAAGAAAGTCATTTAATAATTGCATCTTCTTGTGTATAATCTTTAGTCAATTAACAGCAGTTACCTGTCATTTAGTCTTCATACATTACTCTACTTTGCTATTTGAATCATAATTGAAGTCTAGAAGCTTTAAAGCTAAATTTTACTGCAGTTGCAAAAGGCTTTCTATGTACATTCTGTGAACTAAAGTAATGTTTCATCCTTCGTGGTACAGTGACTAAAATGTAATTTTAATGTTTACTTATGCCCTGAATTTAACAAATATGTGTTTATGAAGTGTGAAAATAAAACGAAATTAAAAATGAACACATACTTATCCTGTAGCTTGAATCCTTGCATTTTAACTCTGTCATTGTTATAAGGTCTTCTCACCGGTCAGTCAGCATAGAGAGAAATTAAACAATGTTTCTATATATCCTCTGTAACGGATCGACGGGCACCCCGACTGGGTACCTCCGTTAAAGGATGCTCCTAGCGCTTACAGAGAGCACCAAGTGCTTTGCAGACTCCAAGAACCGCCGCAGCTTGGTTGGGGTCTCGCCATCTCCTACCCACCCTGGACCTACGACAAGGCTCCAGGTTCCAGTGGGTGAACCTCTCCTCCAAGAGAGTAAAGCAGGAACAAGCTCTTAAAAGAGCTTAGTAGTGATTAGCTAAGGGAGTATGCAGAGCATAGCAATTCCCCCAATAAGAGACAGGACTCTAGATTGAGGGTGAAGAAGAACTGACTGTACTTGCACATACAGCCTCTTTTATTCACATTCTACAAACATAGTACTGCCCACAGGGTTTTGAAGAACAACCAATCAACACATTACAACACAGCTAACACTCCCATTCATTACATCAGAAATCCTCCCCTCTGCCTGTGGTACAATTATCTCAACACAATAGACTAACTTAATTATCACAGGCAGGAACATACAGTATTATAAAACATATCACAGGGACCCCAAAACATGCAATAACCCCATAAAAATATATAATCGGAACCGGGGGATCTGGGTGAACCACATATCCAAAATACACCCAGATCCGTTCAGTAGTTTGGAAGATACGGTTTAATGCAGATTCCACAGAACATATACAGGCTATATGAAAAATAATTACTGTTAAATGTGTCCCCTGTTCTGTAGTTTAAAACCAAATACCGGTGAGATGGCACCGTGTAGAAAAGTCAAAACAGTGTCTGTGAGTTAAAATGGTCACCATCCATTGTTCTCACCATGTGCTTCATCCAGTGTTCTCACCATGTGCCTCTGATACATGAAATGTTGGCCACCCAGTAACTCCACAGTTTGTCTGGTAGTCTGTCCAGCCGAACTAACAGATGAAAGACATGGGGACAGTGCAACAAACGAAGGGAATCATAAAAAATATGGATAATGGTCATATCTGTGCACAATCTCCAGTTTTGTCACAGGGCACAAAGTGTTTTCAAATGCCATATATCAGAAGGTAGGAGGCGGGCAAGCAGCCCCCTCCAAGAACACGTGGCGAGGTCTGTTCCGCCACATCCTCGTTAGCAATGTCTGCCATGGATGTGCCTGACCTGATCCGGATTGTGATGTAATTTGCTGATCTTTAAAGGGACACTATAGTCACCACAACGACTACAGCTTAATGTTTTCTGGTGTCTATAGCCTGTCTCTGAATGCATTTTCATGTAAACACTTTATTTTCAGAGAAAAAGTGCTTCCTGGTTTGTGCAGCACTGACATTCAGCGTGGAGATGAAGGTGCTGAAATTTCCCCATAGAGATGCATTGAGTCAATGCGTCTCTTTTTAATGAGCTAATTGGCCAGCGCAGCATTTGGCTCTGGGAAAACATTGATTGGCTGAGATTGTCAACTTTGATCTTGGCCAAGAAAGCAGATCGGGGGTGGGGCCAGCATTGGCAGACCTGCACAGCCCTGGAATAAATGGGTTTTTATTTAAGTGGGGCCTGGCCACCTAAATAGAGTTTAGAACACTATAGGGTCAGGAATACATGCTTGTATTCCTGACCCTATGGTTTTCCTTTAAAATAAACAATAAAAAAAAAAAAGTACCACATTTTATTTTTCAATGTTACTGTTCCCTTTTAAATGAGTTTCTTGAAATCAAAAACCAGTTGGTTGTAATCTGCTGTATTACCTAAGTAAGCAAAAGCCAGATTCGCTAATTAGAAAGACTCCTTATGCTGGATGGTGGAAGTATAACGAACACACACCAATATTTATAAATGTGTACAAATTTAACTGCCACATATTTACATTTAAAGGTCGGAATAAAATGTAAAAAAACCCTACATTTTCTAATTTTATCATTTTCATTGGTTCAGTAAAAAAAATTACACTTTTAAATCTTTTTGCATACTGCCTGCCTCAACTACAAGTTTGATATAATGCAGTAAAGTTTCCTATTAAGCTTGGATGTGACCTGGTAATATGATTCAGAAAATGCCATTAAACCAAGCGAGTGCTGTACGTATTGCTTTATATTGAACTACCATCTGACACTGCTCTGATCTGTCAAAATGAAAATATATGCCTGCAAGTTGAGCTTTCCTCCATTAGCTAAAAATGCTATTTCAACCTTTTCTGGCAATAAAGACCTTTTAGATATGCGCGGCAAATTGATCTTTGCATTATAACTTGATGGCATTCTCTGCCCAAGGCATTAACCTATAATAGCATGCAGTGCATCTTGTAATGTACATGTGTAGTTTAACTTACTGTAGTAGCATGTTTAATATATTGTATGTGTGAACACAAGTTAACACAATGTATTTCCTTTGTCTCTTTCTCTCCTGTCTTGGCTGCCGCTGTTGCAATCATCGCTATGCTTGTCCTTGGTGCTGGATTCCCCTTTGTCACCAACCATACTTCACAAACCGCAGCAGAGTGACAATAAAGACTCTCACGGATCACCACGTAAGTAGCAATATATGTAGGTTTATTTCAAAGCTGTATTTTGATACATTATAAAATGGCAACTTTGACAATGTGTGTGTGCTTTCTCGGTACGGAGTGAGGATTTCATGCTTGTTTGTATTAACTGATTTCCTTTTCTATACGTTTAGATCAAGTGTGGCCAATCGATAGCTTTGTAGCTGTGGTAGGCATGCAAAGCATCATGGGATACAGCTAACAGTTGACTCGTGTATCGCGTTCTATGTAGTGACCTGTAAACCTTTTCAGGGGTGGGAAGATAGTAGATCCTCAGCTGTTGCAGAACTGCAACATTCGACAATTTTTATTTGATTTATAAAAGACATGGGAAGGGCAGGGAAAAGGTACTGAAAACAAAAGGTGTGGCGAGGGGGGGAGGGGCAGGGGCAGGGAAAGGGAGGACATCCAAGCATCTTACATCACTTACAACACAATAAACCATAATTATCCATAGTAATCCATAATAATACACAATACTTTGGTACTCAATATGGCCTTCATCAGTATAATCACATTTAGATTGCAAATTTCTAGATAACTGGAGCATAAAACTTAATTTAGTGCTTACCTACTTAAAATCGAAATGTAATAAAACAGTGCGATAACATCTTTATGGAACATTAATGCTTCCCCCTATATGGGGTGTACCAATCTCCACTTGTCACAAGTGTCCCATGCCGCTATCCCACATTGATTAGATGTATATATACTTATAAAGCAGCGCTCATAAAGCCTCTGCTCCTCCATCTCAGAATGTATTTTCTGAATCGTGGGAATGTTTGAAGTCTTCCAGGCTCGTGCAGTAAGGCGTTGAGCCGTCCGTGCCATATAGAAGATTAATTTTTGGAGATATTTGGGTGTATGTGGGGGGGATATGCAATAACAAGTACGTAAGGGGATCATACGATGGTTTAACTTTTGAGATATCTTGTAACAATGTATGTACAGCTTCCCAAAAAGGTTGGATTAATGGGCAGTTCCACCATATATGTATAACTGATCCTATATTCTTTTGACATCTCCAACAAGTGGGTGAGGTTGAGGGAAACATTTTATGTAACCGCTCTGGCACCATGTACCATCTATAAATCACTTTCTTGTTTTGCTCAATAAGTGGAACTGATTTAATAAGTTTCTTAGTATTTATAGATATATTAGTCCACTGTTCCTGGGTGAGCTCAATGGTCAAATTCTTTGCTCATTGCTTTCCTGG